GGGGGTCGGCCTCTTCTCCCTGGTAACAGATGATAGGATGAGGGGGAATGGTTTGAAGCTGCGCCAGGGCAGGTTTAGGTTAGATATTAGGAAAAACTTCTTCACTGAAAGGGTTGTCAGGCTCTGGAATGGGCTGTCCAGGGAGGTGGTAGAGTCCCCATCCTTGGAGGTATTTAAAAGAAGGATAGATGAGGTGCTTAGGGACATGGTTTAGTGGTCGGGTGGCAGGGTTAGGTTAAAGGTTGGACTCGATGATCTTAAAGGTCTTTTCCAACCAAAGCGATTCTATGATTCTATGATGAGAGGAAATGGCCTCAAGTTGCAGCAGGGCAGGTTTAGACTGGATATTAGGTAAAATTTCTTTACTGAAAGAGCAGTCAATCATTGGAACAGGCTGCCCAGGGAAGTGTTTGCGTCCCCATCCGTGCAGGTATTTAAAAGATGTGTAGATGTGGTGTTTAGGGACATGGTTTAGTGGTAGACTTGGCAGCATTAGGTTAATGGTTGGACTTGATGGTCTTAAAGGTCTTTACCAACCTAAATGATTCTGTGATTCTATAATTCCATGATTATTTCATTGGATCTACGGTAAAGGTTCCTCACATGAACTGACTTCCCTAACTCAGTATTGAAATAAAAGGAGGACATTTCTTACTCAGTCTCCTTCACTGATTTTGAAGAACAGTTTGGTGAACATTACTATCCAGACATTGGACATAAAGCTGGGCTGGGTTCTTATACACAAATATTATCTGTGCATTGGAAAGCCTGCCTTGGAGTATTGGCAACTGAGGAGGAAGTTTTCGGAGTCTGTTTATTAAATGTCTGTATCACTTGGAGCTATCGGCTGATTTACTTCCTCACATTCTGGTATTACTTATCCTGCTAATAACTATAATATACTTTAATCGACAAGACCAGGGAGAAGGGAAAACCTTGTTTTGTCCCCAGCCAGCTCCACATATTTATTTGGCACCAAGATACAATACGCCAGTTGCTCAGCTACAGATTTCTACGCTGTGTTCACTGGTAGGGGCAGCCTAACCTCAGTCAGGCTTATCTACAAATTCCAGCTGTTCTTCCAGGATGAAAAGTCAGGCAATTTTTTAAGAAAGACCTTGACATATTATCTTATATAGGCTGTATGATTTACCTGCAAAGGCATACAAAAGTATCCCATTGGCCAGAGTGGGTCATTGGTGCACTATACGTTCAGAACAGACATGACTGGTAAGGTTTCCTTGAACCTGAGCCTGTTTCTATGCTACACCAAATGCAGCACAGACAAATTCCTCTCCCTCTTTTTGGTTACCTATCAATAGATAGATTTAATATAGAATGAAAACCCTGCTAGGACACTATCCCTTCTTTCTTTTTCAGAAAACTTGGACAGAAATGGGAAATAATTCCACAAGATTTCTCAAAGATAATTGAACTTGCTTGTTCTGGGCATGACCTAACAACCTTATGCATATTACTACCTTTATAAATTACTATATTACCTATGTGATCCTTAATGGGGACTGGAAACTTTTATGTACATGTGTACATATGTAGATCCATACACAAACATGCACTTCCCTCCCCCCCTTAATGTTCTCACTATTTTATTTGATACTAAGATGTGTTCTCTCTATTAACATAGATTTTCCTTCAGAATTTAGAATACGCAGAATTTATTCAGACTGAAATTTATTTTTTTCCTGGGTTTTATTCCCCTGTGTTCCTACACCAAATATTCTTATTTCAAGTGGAAGCTTAGGCCCTGTACCCAGGGTACAGGTATATTTTTATTATTGTAGCCCACAGTTTAGCTATCAGAGTTGATTATAATGGTAATTTTATTAGTACTGTGATTTTCTTCATAGACTTTTACAAATATGAACTGAACATTCACCATAGCATCCACATAGCAAATCAACGACTGTTGTCTTAATTGTCCCATGGTAAACCAAGGAGAATGTCCTTTTTTTGTGGTCATGAGCATGACCGTAGATATTATGAGACTTCATGCTACAGATCTGGTTCCCACCTTCTCCACAAAACATTACATCGTGCCTCTCAATCAGCAACATTCTGGTAGAAGGATTGAATAGTTCTGTAAACATTTGTGGCCCTTCAAACTTGGAATTAATATTTGCCCAACTCTAGTTTTCCAGTAAAATACAATAGAGAGTATTTCATTTTCTGACTGAAAGAAATGTCAAATAAGGGTTTATAACAAAGATTCAGAAATTCTCTTTCAATGTTGTACAGAAATTACTTTAACTCTTCCATCCTCAGAAAAAAATACATGAATTTGTATTAATTTGATTTCAATGTAGGTGATTTCACAAGATCAATTTTATTACTGCAGCTGTCAAACTGTATTTTTCTTGATCTGTATTCATAAAGACACTGACTTGCCAATGGAGAAAACTATGTGAAATTCATTCTGAATAACGTAACAATTTTGTTTTAGTTTTACAACAAAAGATCCCATAGGATTAGCTGTATTAGCACTATACACATTAACAAGTTGATCTCATACCAAAAATGTGATGAGGCTTTTAGTTCGAGACAAGGATTTTCTTTTTTGTCATTATTTAATTTTATACATTTCAATGTGTTTTTGTTCCTAAGGTCTGGGAATTGGGAACATGTTTTATGTTTTTTATGAAGATGGCATCAAAGTAATACAACCAGTGGAATGTGAATTTCAGAGACATATTAAACCTAGTGAAAAACTCCTCGGTTTTCAGGCAAGTTATTTTTTTTTTAAATTTAATTGTAGTATTTTCTCAATTATAGTTTTCTTTAAAAAAATTTATTATTGCTAGTTTAGTGCTTTCTGCTTGATAAATTCAGACATGTCTTCTCAATTAATAAATAGCTTATAATGGTGGACTCAAAATTTCCTGTATTTTCCTTGAAAAAATTCAAACTTTCAATCTCTCTTTTAGATTGAGTACTCCCTGTATGCTTTTCAAACCCCTTATTTTCTCTGGCTGTCTTTCTCTTTTCCCAGTCCTTCCCTTTAACAGCTCTCTACTCTTTATTTCTGGTTTGGTGGTGGTTGTTGTTGTTTTTTCTTCCCTCTCCCCAGTTAAGTGCATCTCTGTGAATCAGCAATTGATTCTCTCTCTATTAAATATAAGATCTAAAGTTATTATTTTTAATGGTTTCTTTTTCTCCACTGGATGTTTGTCTATACTAAACTGTCAGCTATCATGAGGTAAATCCCTGTCCTGATAAACACTCTTACAGCTCCGCTGAAGTTAGTAGAGATGATGGATGCTTTGACTCCAACTTACAGTTCATATAAGTAGTTTCAATAACTTTATTGTTAACAGATTTATAGCTGATTTCACCAAATTCTGTGCATTTATGGAGTAGTTTCCATGTGTAGCATATATAAAAACTGTAGTGTATTCTCCACTTTGATTTATTCTTTTGTTGTTTTTCCTTTACTGCTAATCAAATTGCTAGCTGACATGAAGCATGTTCTCACAGGAACACTTCGTACTAGTCACTACATTAAGACTTGTTCCATATGATCTATCACCTTTCAAAAATAATAACTTTTTCTCATTATTTGGATTTGAATGAGTGACCTTGAAATACGTAATAACCCATGAGCTGTACACTTTGTGTTTTTCTCCCTAATACCTAAAACGCGCTGAAATAACAGCAGAACAGTCTCAATGGAATTTGCCTCCTCTGTTATCGTTATTGATGTCAAAGGCTGCTGTACTCAGCAGCAAGATTTATCTTAGTGTGAATAATTAGGCTTTGGACAGCTAATCATACCTTGATTTGTGCTGCTTAAGTGAAATTAGGTTGACACAGCCAAAAATAAGCCAAAGAGCTTTTTTATGGCTGTTTAATTTGAAAGCTGATTATTTAAGAAGCCTGGTAAAATTGTATTGGTCTGAAGTGCAGCCTAGATTTTAAGTGTATTTTTATTGAAATGTGATGATAATCAGGATGGATAAGTCAAACTTCTTTCCTTGTTGTAGCTTTCTAACCTGAAGTAGCATAATAATTATGTCCTTCTCCCCTGAAGAAAAAAAAAAAAAAAAAAAAGAGACCAGGAAAGTAGGCTACTTGATAAATTTCATTTTACAGTAGGTATAGTCTTGTCCTTCTTTAGGTATCTTTGGTTGTGGGTAGGTGTGTTAAATATATAGCCAGAAATTAAGCTTTGTACCTACAAGCATGTCATTTTGCCCATTAAATTCAACAATATTTCTACTTATTCCCCTGAACGCTGAAAACATTTTCCCTTACATATGGTGGTTAATAAATCTCTATTCCTGCAAAAGAAATCAGAAATATTCAGGAAATATATCCCTATGTTTTTCTATTCATAGTGACTTCATTGTTTGCTCTGCATTAAAAAAAAAAAAAAAAGAAGGAAAAAATGAGAAATAGTTTTCAGTAAAATATTTTGGAATTTTGATAAAAACCTTTAAGATTACTTTCCTCATAGAAGAAGGATGAAACATGAGTTTAAAAGAGTTCTGTGCACATACTGCTAATACTATGACAACAGTAGTATGTTCTTGAAAAAACTCATTGACTATGAAGCTTTAGACAGCTGTTCTTCCTTTGAAGAACATCATATCTTCCTCAAGCCTCCTTGGAAAATCTGTTATCTCTAAATAAGAATAATAAAATAACGCAGTTCTGTACCAGGATCAGATTTTTATCAAGTTCAGCATGTGACTGTTTAGTGGTAAGAGTTCATGTCATAAATTACTCATTAGTAATTCTCTTTGACTCTGTCATATAACTTTATTAATGAGCAATTTTGGTATACTGTATGTTTTGAGGTGGCTTTACATAGCCTTTCACATCTACAGCAGCTATTGCTAATAAAATCTCCATCACTTATCTCTTAAAATATACCTAAAGGAAATATTTGCTTGCGTAAACCTCTCCCATTTTTTTACATTTTTCTGAATTAGCTGTTCAAGTGATAAGTAAAACCCCAGTAGACCTGTTTCATTGCCAAACATTTGCTAAAGTGTAGGAACATTTCTAAATTCTGCAGCGCAGTTTAGGTACTAGAAGTGTTACAGAAAATGTCTGGATGTGACACGTGATACTGCAGTGTTCCTCCCCAGGTTTCCTGTTTGCCTGCCAAGAAAACAAATTAACCTTAGCTGAGCTCCTGTAAAAGAATGAACTCAGGTGTTTCTATATGGCATTGCATTGTATTGTGAACGAAAGTTGCAGTAGTTACACATGTACGTATTTAGGTATGCTAATTTTGTGAAAGGTAAATACAGTTTCTCAATAACTGTATACTTGAGAACCCTTATCTAAATATTTAATTGCCTCTTATGTAACTGAGTGTCAACACAGCAAAGCACTTTAGTGTGTGTCTAACATGGGACTCGATTAGACTTTCATTGTGCTGAAAGTGAAGCAAAAGATTTAGTGCTTTACTGGATCATCATGGTTCGGAGGAATATAAAGAGCTTCCTCCTCTCCTCCCTAGAATCTCGTAAATTACTTGAATCTTCTAAATTAATATGGACTTAAAGCAGACTTTTATTAGGCTGATAGTGACAGTTCTAGATGCACAGGGACAGAAATAAACTTATTTCCGTTTTCTGATGCAGGTTATTTTTCAGTTATACCAGCTTTGGCAGCTGTTTGTTTAACCTGTTGTCAAATAGATTCTTAACCATGGTCCAAGTAGAGTCTTTCAACTGCTAAATCTCTCATCATTCTGAAGTGTTTAGGACATTTTCCTCACTAACATGCAACGTCTGTTTATCTTCTGCAAATTAACATTGTCCAAAGCCTTCAAATTCTTATGCAAAAGTGTTTTTATTTTCCCTTCCCAGTGAATCCCAATTAGAATAATTATTTCAGGAGGCTGGGGGCAGGGGAAGAAGCAATTGAAACATATGCCTTTGTTGAGACCGATGGAGGAATCCTTTTGGTTTCAACACAATCCTTATTTCTGCTTTATTACAAGAACTAGCTCATAATTTCAGTGAACTGGGCCATCTCACACTTGAGTTGGTTGAATACGTGATGGAGGTGGGAGCAAAATACTTAATTTCAAAATAATTAATGTGACTACATGGCAGAACAAAGTTTCCCCAGGAAATGAACTTGAAACACACTTGTTAGTCCAAAGAAATTGCTTTGGTTTACATTCTTATTGTACAGCAAGTGTAGCAAATGCCAGATTGTTAACCTTTGTTTGTTGAAAAAAATGTGAAAAAGGTCCACAGTCTGATTTTAAGTACAGAATGTCAAGCAAACAGTAACAACATAAAAAAGGTGATATATAAATTCATGTCTTAATACATGCACTGTTGTAACTTGTTGATGTCACCTTACTCCTAGTTGTAGCACAGATAGACATTTCATTGTACTGCTTAAAGAGCTTGACTCAAATATTTTTAGAACACTCAGGACCCTTGCATTAAGTGTACGTTTATAAGCATAGAATTTGCACATATAAATCTACAAGTACATGTTTTCTCTTGAGAATTTCTTGCCCCAGACTACCTTGAATAACTTTCTCTAAGGATTTATTTTCCTCTATCTGCTGACTTGTTACAGGGCAAGTCACTTTTTGATTAAAAAGTCTGGGGGGAAAAAAACAATGAAATAATGTGTTATCAGATGTTAGCTTTTTTCAGAGAGAATACATTAGGAAAAATTAAATTGTTCACATTTTAAATAGAAGAAAAAAAAAGGTGGGTTTATGCTTATATTTTAAGGAGAAATTATTTTAACCAATTACCCAGCCACTGGGGAAATTAATATAGAGCCTCAGAACTACTACCTGTAATGTAAAAGAAATCCAAACTGTCTAATCAGATAAATGTTAACTTTTCAAAAGCAAGAATTCAGTTCCATTGACTGAAGCTATTTCTGGGACATCTAGATAAATGTGGGTTTGAATAAGTAGAGAAACTACTGCATAAACTGATCCATGCTGGGGAACTCTATTTTGGATATGAGAATTTTGGTGCATAACTTTCAGTGTTACTTTGGAGAAACACCTTTTTTGCTTTTATTCTAACTGGTGGGGGGCAAAGTGAGAGTTGGTATTGGATTATAGAAATTTATGACAACATAAACAATATCCTAGAGCCAGTGAACTGCATTTTTATACATAGATGTATTTTTTACTTAATATTTTTTACTTTAGATCTAAGTGTCGTGCCTTCTACTTGCTGCATTTAATGTGGAACAAGAAGAGCAAGTTTTATGAATGATATAGATATAATGATATAGAACTCTCTATAAAAATAGATATAATGATATAGATAATGAGTCATGCCCTGTAGTTTCTAATTTAAATATATTTGTGTGTGTATACATCTATAACAAACCCCCTATATTTATATTGTTTTTAAATTGAAATAATACTTAGAAATACACTTCCATCAGTATTTTAGACTCAGATTCAGGAAAATCTTTGAGGTAGCTTAACTGGATATAGTAATAAGAGCCTAACTTACATATTTTCCTGTTGTTCTATACTTCCCACAACGGGGAGGTATGATTAGTGTAACCATTTACACTAATATATATGCTGCCATGTGAGAGAAACCTGGATTCCTCCAGCGGGGGTTGGTGTTATTTTTGAATAATGTGTTGAATGTGGCTTTGTAGAATTCACAGCAGCAAAAACTGGGGTAAACTAAGGTGAGTCCCTAAGAGACATGATTGAAAAGAATGATGCAGGACAGAGCTGTTATAAACATTTACAGATGCATTACTTGAAGAAGGCGTTCTCTGAGGAAGAAAGAGGACTGTGTAGAACAGTCTAAACAGTAGTTATCTGTTTAGATAAAACATAGAACTAAGACAAGGCATATTTAGAATAAATATAAAAAAATCAAGATCAGTGAAACAACTTTCCAATTGGAGTGACAATTGCACAGAAGGCACATGACAATAGATCATTGATCCGATGATTATACATCATATTAGAGATATACACTTGTCTATGCTGACACTTCACTTTATGCGATGAAAAGCTTTTAGCCATATTTGAGAAAGAAAATCCTGTTTGTTACCATGCCTATCGTTCTTTAAAAACCAGATTTTAAACTTCTCCCTCCAAAGTGCATGGCTTTTTAGCAGTGAAAAATAAATCTTGCGCTTTTTATTTATTTCGAAGTTCTGCTGAAGTTCCTGATTATGTGCCATCCCATGGTACCTGAGTTCAGTAACCTTTCCTTATCAGTGTGTTTTCTGAAAGACCTTCCCTTTGTTGTGGTTTAAGAACCACATAAGACCAAGCAATGGCTTTCAATCTCCTGTAAAGAAACTCCCTCTGTTAGAGCTGGAAATTGATTTATTTCTTATTTTGACATATAAAGATTGAGTGTATTTTCTCAAACGTACAGAGGCATAGCAGGCAAAGAATGTTGACGATACAGAAAAGTTAGTGTTGAAATGCGTCATCTTCTTGAAAAACATTGCCTAGTGCCAGATATGTTGTTCTATCATGTTATTTTTCCCTTTTAAAAAGGAGTATGACACTTAGAAACAGAATTCTGGTTTATGATCTCATCAACTCTTGCTGTTCATTCTACATTGAAGTCATCATCTGCTGACATAACATAATTATTTTCACAGCAACCAGTTATGATGTATCAGAGCAATTAAATTAGGAATAAGCAGCAGATAAGTGCTAAAAAGAAATAATATTTATGATTTGGTGAAATTGCCCCTTGTGATGAAAGGAAAAAAAAATAAGAGGGAAAAGAAGAATAGGACAGGAAAACAAAAAAGCTTGGCACATAGTGAACATCTCTAAGCAGAATATTTTTGGGTCCTTGTTTTTACATAAATTTGATGTCCATTACAGGAAAAAATTATGGTATTTCATAAAGGGTAGTTCCAAATATGGCAACATATTTGACCAAGTAAATCTAATTTTGATAAAAGCAAGCTTTCACTGGGAGTGAATGCTTACAAATAGGTAGACAAAATATAAATATATATATATATATATGATGAGTGGGAATATATTTATATAAAAATACGAAGAGCAAGCATGTAAACTATAGATATATTTTAAGTGAGAGTGCATAGTTATAAATATAAGTATTAAGAAATATGAATACAAAATATGAATTCACTGAAGTCAACAGGAATTTTGCTTTTGTTTCAAATTCATCCTTTTGCATGGCTGGAAGGTCAGAGGAGGAAGGAATGATAAGCAGTAAGCCATTTGGTTTGCATTGGGTTTCACACTAGTGAGATAGGCCATGAGAAGGTATTATGGCAGAAGTAGCCAAACTTCTTGACCTTTGAAGCAACATATCCGTACTCCATGTCACCAGAAAAGCAGATCCCTGTGACTGCTGTTGCTTTGCACCCATACCACGTGACAGCTTGCACCACACCTCCTTTTTTTCCTCTCCATTTATATGTTATCATCTTCCCAATTCAGTATTTGCCTGCCTTACCACTGTGTTCTCAGAGATAAGTGTAAGCCATGTCTTACTTCTGCCTTCCTTCACAAGATACTGTGATGGTGTAGATGGGGAAGCTGCTAGCTGCTGCACAGCAATGAGACATTGTGCGTCTAATTTGTTTTTCTGTTTTTAAGGTCTCCTGGCTCTTGCTCCCTTTATTTCTACATGTATTATTGTTGCAAATGGCTTGCTTTCTCAGGACAACAGTGCCTGAATGCCTAGAAAACATCAAAAAAAGCTGGTGCATGGTTTACACTAAAGTGCTTGTGAGTTGTGTGGTGCTTACAATATGCACTTTAGCTAACATTAGCCTATGTCCTAATGTCACCTGTTCTTTTTCCTTCCCTAAATTTTCTGAGATCTTATTTTACAGTTAAAAAGGAGTATTATTTGGTTTTTTATTGCATTGTGGACTGTTTGGATTCTTACACTTTCCTTGTTTGTATCGAATTATAGGATGAAGTTTGTCCCAAAGCAGATGGAGATCCCGTTCAGCGTTGTGTATGGGCAACTGCTGTTACTGTAAAAGACAAGTTCATTTATGCAACTCAGCCCACACTTGACAGAGTTCTTATTGTTGATGTACAGTCTCAGAAAGTTGTACAGGTATTTATTTCTAATTTTTAAATTAATATATAATTTGGACACAAGAATTTAAGGTTTTCTTTCATATTTCAAAAAAATGCAATTAGCTTGACAGTAAACACAGTATCTAGAAAAAAGCTCATCTACTTTTTACATTTAGCAGCAGTTTATGTTTTGTGCTGTTCTTGTGAATAGGCAACTGGGAGGGAGAGAATCAACATGAAAATATCTCTTACAAATATGAATGAAGTAGTTAAAGAAGCGAGTTCTTTGGGAAGTTTCTGTCTTGAGGTACTTTTCACTTGAAAATGAAGCTTCATTAAAATAGAGTCTTATCACAGGGATGTGTCTATCAGTTTTGGCAGGAAAGGGTCAGGGGTTTAGGCTGGGCTACAGAGGGTGGAGGACTGTTATTCAGTAAGCTTTCAGACAGAGAAATTACTGGAATTGTGGAGGACCAGACCACCCTTAGCCAAGATTGGAGACTGTGAATTCACACAACTTCTCTATTCCTCTCTACTGTGTAGCTAGTACTATCAGTTTTTCAGGCTCTGGGATGCTGAAGATATGCTGCTTAGTCAAAATAATGCATTGGGTAAAAGAGAAATCAATGCTATGGTACAGGGATTAATGCACTCATACAGTTTGTGAAAGACCAAGGTACAAGGCAATGCTAAAATGAGTATTAGTTTTTTTGAGCAGTACGGTTCCCTCAGGAGAGCCTGACAGAGTCACAATATAATCCAAATGGTCAGTAGTCTCACTGGGAAGGAGTAAAAATTTGATGTTTAGTTGCCACCACTCAAGTCAAATACTATAACAACCACTACGCTTGTGTCTTTTTTTTTTTTTCCCCTTGTATGTATCCAATTGTATCAATGATACCATTGTACTATGAGGTTAATTAGGGGATTTACATGAGGACAGACTTTAGTCTGTGGAATTGTTAAAGATGTGAAAATGCATTTAGAAAATAATAGCCATAAACTCATTATATTTTCTGAATATGAAGAGAATATTTAAAGTCTTAAAATGTGTGAGTTAACAAGGCATATGGAAAAGGCAAAATCATAATATTTTTTGTTATTTGTTTTCTGCCTAGTATTCCCACCATATTACACTATTTTTTTCTTTCTTTTTTAATCAGACACATACAATAGAATGTATTTCATTATATAGTCTTTAGTCTTTCAGGATGATGTCATTTGACCAGAAACATTAGCTTTATTTCACCTTCAGTGGCAAAAAACTTCAGTTATAGTTGGGGACTGTCAGCAGTCTTTTCAGCAGACAAGTGGTTTATTTTTTGGTTGGGTTTGTGTATTTTTGGGGTGTTTTTTAAGTACGTTACAGATCTTATAAAATTTTGAAATTTACTTTAAAAGTAGAGTTCTTTTTCTGAAATAATTTTATTTACTGGGCAAATAGCTCTGAAGCTAGTTAATAACTTATAAACAATCCTGCTCTGATTCTCAGAAGAAAGGGCACCTGGATGTGAAACTGATAAAGCAGTTTTGACACCAGACTGAGTGTTCTGATTCAAATTTTAATCGTACAAATGTGCCTCACATCTACAGGGTTACATATAGTATCATCACATTCTTAGGAAAGAGAAGTTCTTTAGCTAAATAAAACACAGATTTTTTTTTAATTAAAAAGCTAATCTAAATTGTTAATAAAAATATTTAAATAGAGCTTTTCTTCATGCCTTTTGCCTTTTTCACTGGTAAATGAATGAAAATCATTGATGTGTAGGTCATATCTTATATATTATAGATTATATAATGTATAGATTATATCTTATATCCCCAGAGGAATCTGGGGGTACTGGTCGACAGCCGACTGAACATGAGCCAGCAGTGTGCCCAGGTGGCCACGAGGGCCAATAGCATCCTGCCTTGTATCCGAAATAGTGTGGCCAGCAGAACCCAGCAGGGAAGTGATTGTCCCCTTGTACTTGGCACTGGTGAGGCTGCACCTCAAATACTGTGTTCAGTTTTGGGCCCCTTATTGCAAGGACATTGAGGCACTGGAGCGTGTGCAGAGAAGGGCAACAAAGCTGGTGAGGGGTCCGGGGCACATCTTACAATGCCAACAGGAATGAAAACTACTCTTCAAGGTAACAATGTCTTGAGAAGTACAAGAGACCTCGTTCCCACAGAACAACTTTTTACACTGGAGAAATTTTTAATACGCATGTTTGAATTGCAGAATATGAGACAAATTATTTTTCTATTTCTGAAATTACAGTTTTGAGCCTTTCTTTCAGGTAAATGACCACTGAAACATGACATTTGTCAACCATTGGAACAGGCTGCCCAGGGAAGTGCTTGCGTCCCCATCCGTGCAGGTATTTAAAAGATGTGTAGATGTGGTGCTTAGGGACATGGTTTAGCAGTGGACAGGTATGGTTGGACTTGATGATCTTAAAGGTCTTTTCCAACCAAATGATTCTATGATTCTATATCGTATGTTAGGCTCTGGGGAGATCTTGTTGCAGCCTTTCAATACCTAAAGGGGGCTTACAAGAAAGACGGGGACAGGTTTTTTAATGAGGCCTGTAGCAATAGAACAAGGCATATTCGTTTTAAAATAAAAGAGGGTAGATTCAGACTGGATATAAGGAAGAAATTTTTTACAATGGTGGTGGTCAAAAACTGGAAGAGGTTGCCCAGAGAGGCTGTAGATGCCCCGTCCCTGGAAACATTCAATGTCAGGTCTCTGAGTAACCTGGGCAAGTTTAAGATGTCCCTGTTCTTTGCAGGGGGATTGGACTAGATGACCTTTAAAGGTCCCTTCCAACCCAAACTGTTCTATGATTCTGTGATATTAGTATACATAAGTATTACATATATTAATGTAAAACTTAAAAATACACAGCAAAATTGAAATTTTACAATTACATCAACTTGACAAATAATTTTAATTTTAATAATTTTGCATTCTTTAAACATCTGTGTTTTCTGCCTTCTGTATTCTATGTCAGCTGGCTGAGTAGACATCGCTTCCTCAAAATCTGGCCTGTGCAAATGGTGACAGTGTTTTGTTTAATTTTTTATTCAAATGTTTTATGTTTTATTCAAAAAATGTTTTATTCAAAAAGTTAATAAAAAAGTTATTAATGGTTTTTGTATTTTACCTTTGCATATCAAAATAGAGATGAACTGAGTGGATAATGAATGTGTTTTCTGAAAACAAGAAACAAGACTTTTTTTACAGCCAATTCAATATATTTCTTCAGGAAGAGAGATTAAAAAACCCATAGTCTTACTGCAATCCACAGATTTGAAGGACTAGAATCTCTGGCAATGGTTTCCCTGGTCTTTGGCTGACATTCACATGTCATCTTGCTTTCCTACAGATGATGGATGAAATACCAATTTAACTGCATTTATTAGCATTTAGTCTTCAGTGGCAAGAGTGTATTATGCTTTTTGAGCTCACTGGAAAATATTAGAGAAGCTGGAGGTTCTTTTAAATTTAGGCTTTATGGAATACTTTGATTGGTAGACTCTTCTAATTTGCCTTCAGTTACATGAGTTATTTTATGAAGCGCTTCACTATTAACTGAATGTTTAAAGATACTTACCACAATGATGTATGTTAATTAAAAAGTAAAATTCAATAAATTAGCCACTAATTAAAAACAAACCCCTCTCCCAGAAATCTGTAAAGCAATTCTCCAGTTTTTGGATGGAGTTAGGTTGCTGTTCTGTCATATAAATATTTAGAATTAAAGTAAGGCTAATTTGGAATCTAGTGACAAGTCAAGAGGTACTTTGTTCAGCATTTCTTACAACAAGCACAGCCCTGTCTTCCTTATCTGTTAACAATAAGCATTTATTTTTTGTTTTGATTTTTGCAAGGACCAGGAATTTTTCTGACCATTAAATGTTGCTCTACTCATATCATATGCACATATACAAACAGGAAGCAAGGAAGGGAGTTTAGTTTCTCAGTCAGATCAGTCTATTTTCATTACTTAGAGTACTTCCTAGCACAGAAAAAAACCCCAAATGTAATTGATTTTTGGAGAATAGATACCAAGCTGTTAATAAATAAGAGCATTTTGCTTACTACACTGCCTTTTCTCTAGGTGTCATATTAATATGGAGGATATTATTTACATTTTAGCTGTTTCTACTCTATATCTTAAAGAAGAAACCACCTATCTGCCCTGTATAACCAAGTTTTCAAAAATGCGTACTCTGGTAGGAACAAAGGTGGAGAAAAACTTTGTATTTTGAAAGTGAGCAGCATTCTAATAAAAACTCTGAGGTGCAAAAAAACTAGATACAACTAAAAATTTATTTGAAAGGGCTCTAAGATGTGTAACTGCTGTTTTCTGTGTTAAAAATAATGCTGATTTGGTTTTGCTTATTATGGTGTTTTCTCTGAAGTACTACTATGTATGTTATATTTATTCCTTTCTACTATGAAAGTTAACATAAAAGATGTGTGTACAGGTGCATGTATGCAACAGCTAGATTTGAGGGTGATTTATTTCTATGACAATTATATTTATCAAAATAAGTACTTAAAGAAGATTCTAGAACAGACTAAACTGAAATGTATTGGAAACATGGATGGTCTGTCTTTAGAGAGATATATGTAGACTTTTTGATTTAGCCAGGTAATTCTCATTCTAAAGTTCAGAGAAGTATTTGCTTGCATTTGTAAATTCTTGAAAGCAAGCACTGTCACCTGCAATTGTCCAGCATTGCTCAGCAGCGCACTCTTAACTGGGATGGCTGAGAGACTTGCTGAAGCAAACACAGCTCATCATCATTCAGTCCACACTGTGCCGCTGGCAGATTCGCCTGGCTAGCCAGAAACAGCTGTGAAAGCCTGCTTCCAAGATGCTCAGCTCCTTGCTGCTGCTGGCTCCTCTCTCGGGAGCTGCATTACCTGTGCTTGACTCCACGGGCAATTCCTCCTCTTCCTTCTCCTGGTAGTGCCATGGCCCAGACCCTGAACATAGCTGGCGCTCATTCAGCAGAACACATATGGGTCACACCTTTTGTCTAGGGAAGCCAAAAGGAAATTTGACACACCTGAACAAATTAGCTATACAACAGCCCAAGTATTATTTTAGACAACTTGTCTTCTGGCCTGCAGCAGAAAAATGTTATCAAACACAAATGACCTTTTTCAAGAGGTATCTTTCTGATTTTAAATGAGCCGGTGAGCAACCTGCCTTCATTTTCCATTTTCAAAAGGAAAAACAAACTCTGTCTAGATGAAGCTGTGGCTTGCAACACCTCAGGAGTACAGTTAAGTATCATCAGCAGTCTCAGCCAGCCATTAGTGCATTATCTTGAGGATCTACATCATTAGTTTAAATTAGGTTCACTTAATTAGCCAGCTGGTACTCTCCTTGACAAACTGATAAACAAGCTGTGCTTTACAGCTCCATAGTGGTGAGACTAAAGAACAATTTCCACTTATTTTTTCTGCTTTAATGACGGAAATAGAAAAGTAGTCCTCCCAGTTGTTTACCTTGTGCAGAATGTCTCTTAATCAAATACGTTGTCCTCCCATTTTATACCTTTGAAGTCTTCAGTTCTTCTCATGACAAAGGAAGCTTAGAATGCAACTGTCTAAAAGGTTTGTGGTCTCAAGAGACATTGCTCAAGGTTGAAGGGACGACACTTGGGTTCTGATCACAAGTCTACCCAAAGTAGCAACTGTAACTGGAAAACATGAAAACAATCTTTCCAACTTCAACAGAATATACGCAGTTTAGCAGAGAGGGGAAGCTTTGGGTGTAGCCACATTGTGTTAGTTTTATGCAAGGCTGTGTAGTAACACCCTGCATTGATTTCAGTATTGGCTTGAGAATACTCTTCCCTTCTTAGCTGTTTTCCAATAATTGGTGTAGTTCTTAAACTAATCTGTATAAAGTGAGAATGATGGTTGGGAAGGAAGATAAGTACTTTTCTACTTGATTTAAAACCTTTGTTTTCAGCTTCTTAGTAGCTTCAGTATAATGTAATTTTGATGCCAAATGCTAGAGCACATAATGAATAAAAAACACTTTTTCAGCAATTCAGTAACTTTGAATTAATCAGAGGGCTGTTTCAACAATTGACAACATAATTTTTAAATACAGTCTGAAAACATCGGGAAATGCATGTCTAGTCACCATTTTAATTCAAGCATATATATTATTTTTCTTTTGAAACTGTGACAGAAATTAAGGATTTCTATTTTTATTGTGCTTCAGGCAGTAAGTACAGATCCTGTTCCAGTGAAACTACACTACGATAAATCACATGATCAAGTCTGGGTGCTGAGCTGGGGAAACATGGAAAAGAATTCACCAACTTTGCAGGTGAGGTGATCAGAATGATTATATCCTAGGAAATCTAAGCAAGTTGAACCTTTGTGTAATTGCAACATTTTGTATATTTTCCTTTAAGCATTATTATCAGGACCCCATCAGGGGCAGTGAAATGGTTTCAGGTAACCAGAAAACAATTCAGATGACTGACTGCTAAAAAGTTTATAAGATTATTTTCAACACCGTGACTCAGAAGTGACAATGCTGAGTCGATGGAAGGATAAGGAATAGATCTGAAAGCAGCAGCATGTATTGTAACTGCCAGTCTTTTGAGAGCAAACTGTTGCTGTTTATGATGTTTTTTCCCCTAGAATTAGAGGATAAACTGGATTTTAAGTGTATTCTTATTTCACTAAAATTATATTGATGTTCTGGAGGTGACAAGCTCTGTCTTTACTTAGTGCTTTTTCAGATGTAAAATATTAAAAATCTTTTCCCATGCCTCTGAGCAGTGGCAAGCCTAGGGACAGTCTGCTTTTTCACTATTTTCTGTTCATTAATTAAAGTAATTCCTTTATGTCATAATTTAAAAATTACTTCTTATTTCAACTTATTTTCCTTTTCTTTAGAAGTTAATGAAATTCTTACATATTTAAAAAATACGTAAGATAAAGAATAAGAGAAATTCAAATACAGGGCTCAAGCAGAAAAATGAGTAACATTTGAAACCACCTTTTTAACACCTACAGCCTCGTGGTAACTATGAGTATGCAAGGTGATTTGTGGGAGTTTAGCTGTCACTTCTCCCCAGAAAATGACTGATAATTGAGTCAGTCTTATCATGTTTTAAAGCGACTCATCATCTTCACTCTCTTTTTTCTTTACAGTATAGATAGATTATTTTTTTTAATCTGCTCATAAGTTCATGTATGTGAATATCATAGTAGCTATTATATGGGATTGTCTTTTATTCACCCATAAACACTTACCTCAGAGAAGGTCCAAGGTTTGGGGATTCAAGGAAAATCAGTTCATAACAGCTTAAGGAATGTGTGAACTCAAATCAAATTGCTCTTCTGAAATATGTATGTGCTAGTTTGATTTACCTCATGATTGACAGGAACTGGGCGTATGCATAGCCACAGCTTCCTGTGGATCAGTTGATAACATCTTTTCACTTTGAAGTGCTTCAGAAATTTAATCTCATTCTAGGATCTAGTATAAAAAAAAAAAAAAAACCAACAAAAAACCCTAAACTTAAGCCTCTAGCAGTTCTCAGTGCAAACTTAGTAATGTAAAAGAATAAACATGGACTCAGTGGTGGGGAAAAAAAGAGGAAAAAAGTAAATATGAAGATTAAGTCATCAGGTATATAACAGTTCTCTGAAATCTGTAATGCTGATCAGCTTTATTCACTGCCATTTGTGTTCTTTTACTTGGTAACTGAAGGATAATACAAGAGATGGAATACAGGGGCAATACTGGTTTAATTTATTTGGATAGAGATTAAATTTTGAAAGAGTATTTCTGTAGTTTATAATGATGTTACTTTATGTAGGTGATAACACAAGCCAGTGGGAGTGTTTCTCATCACACAATCCATACTCAGCCAGTGGGAAAGCAGTTTGACAGAGTGGATGACTTTTTCATTCCGGCTACAACCCTCATCATTACCCATATAAGGTAAGATTTAGCTGAATTATAATTAAATTTCAAATGAGCTGAAGAAAATATAATTTAAAAGCATTGAAAATCTGAGTCCATGCCACCTACTTCAATATTGTTTTGCAACACCCTTCTTCATAAACAAACTAAATGCAACTTTTATTGAAAACAAGCTAGATATCAGAATAAACACATTTATTAGAGATTTTCTTCCTTATCTCACCAACTGTTCAAAAGTTCCACTGCTCTGAGTACTAAAATTGAGATGTAATAGCATCTGGGGTTTTCTTGAGGAACTGATATGTGTAATATCCAGATAATTCCCTAATTTAGGAGCATAAATCTTAATTTGTAAATAACATTTACTAATTTCTTCTACTGCTCAGAGCAGTTGCCATATTGTATTACATGCATGTTATATTGGAGTTATTCTCATGATTAATGGACCAGAAAAACCCACTTTTGGAGTTTGAAAAGGAATTTTGATGCAACGTAACTCTTTATGAACTGACTTCTCCTGCTCATTTAGTTCTTTCTACTTATTTTTTCATCAGGCTCTCTGTTTTTAAAACAAGCCATGACTGTTTAGATGCATGAATAAAATTTGCCTTATTTCCTGTGTGCTGAGTATACGATGTTAAAATGGTTCAAATTGTAATCCATGCCAGGACACACTCTAAATTCCTGGGACCTTCGTTATTTCTCTGAGTGAGTGTAGGATTGTCTTTGTGTTTGTCCAAAGAACAGAGAAGTTCTGGCTGTGACAGAAATATTCTATGTATGGAAGAATGGAAAAAAGTGACTAGCTGGATTTTAAAAGACATATGGGACAGAGAAAGAGAGTGTGAGAAAAAGAGGGCAACACTTGATACAGGCATAAAGCACAAACCTTTTCAAGATCTCCCCAAGGCCTCTTAAATGAAAATCTATTTTTCTTTCTCTAAATATATTAGTAAGAATGTGAAATATCTTTTTTTTTTCCTATTTTTTCTGTAACATTTCTACCTGTAGGGATTGAAAAATTCTGCAATCTAGGATTTGTACATCTGAATATGGCTGTGATATGTATTAGCACTTTGTATGTTTAGGGCTGTTAGGTTCTTTGCAAGGTGACACAGGCCTATTTCAGCTCAAAACACCTCGGCAGACAATTAACTTCATTGTTTATTCTGCTCTTTCAGTTCAAGTTGCTATAGAAATGCTTTCATTAGGATGATCTTAGCTGTCCTACAATTATGAGGCATCATTCATTTTTAGCTAAAATCTCAAATTGCATATGTAAATATGTAACTCCATTAAAAAAGATATAATTTCTGATTGTAGCGAGTGGTAGTCTTTTAAATGTGAAAACATGCAATTTAAGATGATTTTACAGTTGATTCCAGAATTTGCTCTCTATGTGCTTGTGATGAATCTGGTCTTCTGTATCAAAAAACATTTGGTTCTCCTAAAGAGGTTGTTGATGAAAGATAATTTTTTTTAATTTTCTACAAAACTCTTAACTAACAAGTAAATTAGCAATCAGCCATATGCAATTTAAAAAGAAATGTATAAATTAATATAGCTGAATAGTAAATTGACTCTAAGTACCATTACTGCCACATTTCTTGAATTAAGTACATAAATGCACATTGTGTTCCTGAAGTAATCTGCAGTCCTCACACTCAGCCTTAGAAAAGCATTAAATAATTCTGCTACATTTGGAACAGGTATGCCTTGAGAGAACAAAAGTTACTGCTTCATAGGTTACCAAGTGCTAGAGGTGCTACCCCAACAGAACTGACATTTAGATACATTAATTTTCATGTAAATAGGAAAAGAAAAAGATGGGTAGAGATAAACATCGTACAAGGAGGGGAAACAGGATTGGGAAAAGAAAGATAGGCCCGGTCCAAAGCTTGTGAGGACCTCATCTTGTCTAACTCAAACAATTTTAAGTTGATGTTTTGCCTAAATAGGTCACGTAGGTGCTTTCTGCTTTGCATGGTGAGTCACAGCTACCTTCAGCTGATGAGTCATTTCACCTGCCCTATACACAACTTAGGAGAAAAGAGAATTAAACAATAAAAGAAAACCCACAGAAATAAAAAAGGAATATGAAATTCAGTTAAACATCGAAAGAATACAATTGGACAAGTGACTTCAGATATATAATGAACATGTAGATCAGTTCAGGCCTAGTATAATTATATTGTTGTGACTTTTGCTTTTTTTTTTTCTTTTTTTTGCATTCACATGCCACGTAAAGACCAAAAGAAAATTTCTGAAGTCTGACAGAAAGCCTGCAGTAGTTTGTCTAATGCTAAAACCATAGATTTGGGGTTTTTAACCAACAAAATTAATTCGACAGAAATAAGCTGATTTTACCTACTCATGAGCTTACTTGAAATGCCGAGAATCTTATTTTATTTTCTAAAATGCCACCTGAGTGCCTTTTCTAGAAAAGAAAAAAAAAAAACACTATGTAGACAAAGACAGTATTTTTATTTTTTATGTATTCTTTCAAGAGCTATTTATGTGAAGTTAGTCTGTCATTAAAGAATTTGCCTCACATAAAATGTCTAGCCTTCAAGTACTTTGATTTTTCAGTTTAAATAAAAATGACTATGTGAGCAGTGTGTCAGAAAGGTTTTAAATTAACTGTATTAATCAAATTAGTACTGACGTAGGAAAACCTGTCTATCAAATCTAACCTGTCACCAGTCAACAATAAAAATGCTCAGTAACAGCATGTGTTTGTTAAGGATGTTAGGCAACAAACATAAAGCTTGAGCTTATTATTCTTTGGTGTTATATACAAACCAGGGGAGCATTTTGTGAGAGTGAATGGGAAAAAACAGGTACAAGGGAAATAACCCCACTGGGTGAGTTAGCTGGTGTAGTTAACTGCTCAGGGGCCGTATTTGCCCTTTGTTAAAAGTCAATTCCCTTTGACTATGCAACACCAGCCCCTTCCAGAAAAATGAAAGCTTTCTGTAGCTGGGTGCATTTGTCTTGAATGATGGAGCAGAACACGGGGTGTGCATGGCTTACCAAATGAGCATCCAGAACCAAACTTTCTGTCTGAATAAAGGCATTTCTAAGCAAAAAACACCTACCGCTTAAAAGTATTAATTGACATTTGTAACACAGTTAACACAAACCATCTACTACCATCTACAGTGTATTACCGTCTACTGTGTATTCTGTCCAATAAGTTATCCTTTAATCTCTGTAAAGAATAAGGGACAGAAGGTAAACATAGGTAGACTTGTGGACCTGTAGGAAGAGAAATAAGGGTGAATAATTTAGAATCATAGAATAGAATCATAGAATCATAGAATCATTTAGGTTGGAAAAGACCTTTAAGATCATTGAGTCCAACCATTAACCTAACCCTGCCATTCCACCACTAAACCATGTCCCTAAGCACCTTGTCTATCCGTCTTTTAAATACCTCCAGGGACGGGGACTCAACCACTTCCCTGGGCAGCCCGTTCCAATGCTTGACAACCCTTTCTGTGAAGACATTTTTCCTAATGTCTACCTAAACCTGCCCTGGTGCAACTTCACTTCCCCTCATCCTATTGCCCATTATCAGGGAGAAAAGGCCGACCCACACTTTGCTACAGCCTCCTTTCAGGCAGTTGTAGAGGGCAATAAGGTCTCCCCTCAGCCTCCTCCAGGCTAAACAACCCTAGTTGCCTCAGCCTCCTCACAAGACTTGTGCTCCAGACCCCTCACCAGCTTTGTTGCTCTCCTCTGGACGTGTTCCAGCAACGCAACATCTTTCCTGTAGTGAAGGGCCCAAAACTGAACACAGTATTTGAGGTGTGGCCTCACCAATGTGGAGTACATACCTAAAAAAGCTATGGTGGGTCATTAATTTTTTCTCTTTGATCGTATCTAAAATGTTAATTGGTAACAATATATATATGTATTTAAAACTTATTGCAAATTTATTCTATTTAAGAAGTGGTGGAACTATACGTTTCCTTTACCTAGGTGGGTTATTTTTATATATGAAAGTGGAAATGGGCTGCCCATTATTAAAAAAGAAAACTCAACATATTTTAATGCTCTCTTGGGCAACAGATAATTTAGGATGCACTTCCCCCAGATCAGACATTTGAAGAGGTGCTAAGAATTTTGGTCTGAGGTAAACAATAATTGACCCCAAGAAAAAAAAAATGTTTTCCCAGACTTTTCCTACTGCAGACTGAGGCAATGTTTGGTTGTACTTACAGTACAGCAGGAGTCCAGGCAACTAACCTTTTGGTTTGATAACCAGCAAGCATAACATTCGTGCTCTGAACGACTGTGATGAGCCATCGAAACAGCAGCCAAGTGAAGTAGGCATGAACCAAAAGAAGTAGAGGAAGCATAGACCCATTCTGTTATTTTTAAACCATCTTTTTAAACTGATGAATAGTTGATATGTATATAGAGGAGTACAAGAAAAGAAGCTTTATCATTTTGGGGAGACAAATGTAGTAGTTTCAGTACCATCAGTTAGTTTGGGGGGGGGGGAGGGGAAGTGTCTCCCTCTCTTTTCTGTGCCAGTCAAACTCTTCCCTTCCACTGCTGAGATGAAGGAGAAACAGTTTTGTGTAGTCAAACACCATTAAAAATCAAGCAATGTTTTGGCTGTGATTCTTTTGTAACTGCTAACCATTCATGAATATATACATATTTAAAAAAGACTATGTATTAATTTTAGTAAAAATCTACTAATTACCTCCCTACTAATCTGTAGAGTGCCCCACTGACGTTTCCAGATAGCAAATCCCTGTTTGTACAGAGAGCCTCAGCTGCAGATAGTTCAGGTTGGCACCCCATGATAAGGCTCCAAAAATGTAGGTGACGATTCTGGAATTTCTGCATGTTTTTTTGACAAGACGAGTTCACCTGCCTGCTCTAAGGGAGGGATTGCCTCATGCCTTTGAGCATTCCTTCATGACAGGAAAAAAATTTCTTGTTTTTCTCACAAAACTTTTAAAATGCAAGCTGAGAGTTTAGAGAAAGTCAGAGTTTCCCAA